CCTCTTGTTACTTATATGTTTAAATATCAAAAGAGGGACGTATACTGTTCCGTCCTGAGGCACTTTTGTTAGATATGGTTCAGTCATTAAATACAAATGTATCTGACTTTTGGCTTGTTGTTTTGTATTAAGTACATAAAAGTAATCTAAAGAAGTTTGGTTTTTGGTTTGGTGTAGTTACATAGAAAACCATAATTCATGATGATACATTGGAATCGTCATATTTGTCATACTAGTATCAGTATTTCCTTTTCGTCAAGTTTTAGTTGAAGATCAAGATATAAAGCAGCATTCCTCGAGTCAATTTCAATTAAAGTTCTGATGGATAAAAAAGATTCAAGACTTTTTGGTCAAAAGTCTTACATGCACTACAGTACCAGCAACTAAGTATTATTTTGAAAACAGTATTTTGTATACAAACAACATAAACGCAGTTCATTCGAATTCATTAATTTTAAATAGCTTATCTGTTGTGCATAAAATCAACCAATCATATACACACATCACTCCTGCTCCCAAACTGCAAGTGTATAGAGGTATCTCTCACAATTACATGAGTACCAAAGTATTAACTACTTGAAAAAAATGATCAATAATGATAAACATAATGGTCAATGATGTTCCTGAAATGTTAATTTATACAGAGTTTTGTCGTATCTTGGTAGCAATTCTTACCTTTTTAGCCAAATTAAGTACACTTGTAATTAATTTTTGTTCGAGGTTGTCAACAACTGAATATTTTAACATTTTTATGTAAGATTTCAAAAGACTCTTTTGAAGATTATGATAGAAAGTAGAATGAAATTCATCTTCTACATCACTTAGATTACAAAAAGTACAAATTATATCCCTGGTTTGAATTCCTTGGTATCTTCCAATTTCTAGTCTATGAGATGACAGTCTCATCCTACTTACATCTTTCAGGTATCCATTATTTATAGATTTTTGTAAATAGTTTGTAAAGAAATGATATTAAGTCATTATAAGTCCCCTACCGGTGAAACCGGGAGACTGTAGTTTTCCTCGATGTCTGTCCGAATATAGATTTTCAGCACTCTATCGCACCTTCATCCATTAACAGAAATCGGTCAAACTTCACACACTGATAGAGGATCAAAATATCTTGGACAAGTTCAAGTGTCAAGGTCAAGGTCGCTCTTACTATTTTTAGAAAATCACCATAAGGCATTGCATCTAAGGAGTTTGTGGGGGCCGGTAGGGGACGTGTATTGCTTCAGCAATACCAGAATGCCTGTTTACATTATCCTCCTCCCAAATATATCCTAGACCGATCCTAAACAATTCGTCTTTGTTATTAACCATATGGCCATTATGCTGCAATCCATTAACTTAACAAATACTTAAACATGTTTACCTTTCTTCTAATTTTCATTGTTAATCTTGCTAACATCAGAATAAACAATTCAATTTGGAATAGGCTTATGGACACCAAGTAAATTCTTGAGGAACTCGCATGTAACTTTTCAATCTCTTTTCTTTCATGGTACCGAAACATTTCAGAACCATAATTCAAAATACATTCGCTGTCTGTATCTAGGCTTAACCAAAGTGCCTGTGACAAGTTGCATTTGAGGGTCAAAGACACTTTTACTTGTAGTATATAACCTCAATGATACCATGTCCCGTAATGATGCTACGAGATATAAGAATGTTTTAAGAATCCAATCGCATAGTACAATGCACCACCATTGGCTCAACAAAAATTTTGAGTATAATATGTTTAGTAATAATAAAAAAAATCCCAACGGTTTGGTTAAGTGGACGAAATCGAGTATGGAGCGTTACGAATGTGGATTCGCCATCCTCTGCACTGTCGATCACAGATTTAAGAATTCTAGTGTGGTAGAGAGGGTTTAGAATTGAACCCCCCTTAAGTGGCAGCAACCAACCAGTACCATTGGCACTTTGCACAAAGTAATTATGACAGATAACTGTATCATCCTCTATGACTCCGAAGAAGTAACAGGCGAGACAAAGGTATCGGTTCTCCTGTTCAAGTTGGAAGAGAACTATGTTGGAAAATAAAGCAGTGTGCATTCCAAAATCTTGCACTTTTTCTCTAAAGCTCAAACTATTGGATACGGGTAGCCTCTCTCAGATAATCAGCTGGTTTACCTTATCTTGTCTTCATAAACAAGTGCCGTGTGATGGATTGTTCTGCACTCTGGCCTCATTTTGCATTTGTGCTATACCTGCAAGTGGCATGGGATATCTGAACTATACTGTACAGTTGTTTAATTTCGCGGGCTAATATTTCGCTAAAGCACCGTCAAGTGTTTGTTCACGGGGATTCATTTGTCTAAAGTGTACCTCAATTTAGAAAGCATATTACATGCCTTAGAAATGTTCCCGGAGTATTTTAATATGCGCCAACATAAATGTCCCTGAACATATAGCAAGTAAATGACCCACCATTATTTCCAACTATATAATATCTACAAGTCGCCCGTGATGGTTGATGGTGCGTACGCTGACCAGATCTAGCTATATCTGCCAATTGACTTTGCTGGCTGGTGGTCTGTCAGCTTGCAGTATCTATACCATATCGAATAAAAATTATGGCAATTGGTTCGCTACCTATATAAGCTATATCAATATGTTGCTTGTGGTGGCGGCTAACTGCCTACAGCTCAGTTGTGGTCAAGTGGGACTTTAATATATACCGTGGGGTAAGGGTGATCGTTAGAGCAGAAGACACTTACCCTTCTGGAACGTCTGGTGTTCTACTGTAATTTCGAAATTATAGTTTTGTGTCGGAGGTGTTCACTTACCAGTGTGTGTCGGAGGTGTTCACTTACCAGTGTGTGTTGGAGGTGTTCACTTACCAGTGTGTGTTGGAGGTGTTCACTCAGCAATGTGTGTTGGAGGTGTTCACTCAGCAATGTGTGTTGGAGGTGTTCACTTACCAGTGTGTGTTGGAGGTGTTCACTCAGCAATGTGTGTTGGAGGTGTTCACTCAGCGTGTGCGGAGGTGTTCACTTGTGTGTGTCGGAGGTGCTCAGCAATGTGTGTTGGAGGTGTTCACTCAGCAATGTGTGTTGGAGGTGTTCACTTACCAGTGTGTGTTGGAGGTGTTCACTCAGCAATGTGTGTTGGAGGTGTTCACTCAGCAATGTGTGTTGGAGGTGTTCACTCAGCAATGTGTGTTGGAGGTGTTCACTTACCAGTGTGTGTCGGAGGTGTTCACTTACCAGTGTGTGTCGGAGGTGTTCACTCAGCAATGTGTGTTGGAGGTGTTCACTCAGCAATGTGTGTTGGAGGTGTTCACTCAGCAATGTGTGTTGGAGGTGTTCACTCAGCAATGTGTGTTGGAGGTGTTCACTCAGCAATGTGTGTTGGAGGTGTTCACTCAGCAATGTGTGTTGGAGGTGTTCACTTACCAGTGTGTGTCGGAGGTGTTCACTCAGCAATGTGTGTTGGAGGTGTTCACTCAGCAATGTGTGTTGGAGGTGTTCACTTCACCATGTGTGTGTGTGTGTGTGTGTGTGTGTGTGTGTGTGTGTGTGTGTGTGTGTGTGTCAGTGTGTGTGTGTGTGGAGTGTGTGTGTTGGTGTGTGTGTGTGTGTGTGTGTGTGGTGGTTTATACATGATGTTGAAAATGTCTCATGTTCATTAAAAGCAGGTTATTTTCGCCCAAAACTGGCCGAAAGAAAATCGTTAAATACCATATAATTGTCAATATCAGTGACATGGTAAGGACGATATGATCCGTTATTTGAACAAATATTGAATATGGGCAACAAAATATCGAGTATAAAGCATTGTCTTTTTACATCAATGTGTGGCCTAACTCATTGACAATGCCGTATCAGACAAGGTTCAAATCATTCGATTAACGAACTGATGGAGGTTGAATTTCCTTGTTGGAAAACCTCTCTGATAAGTGGAAGACATTTTTCGTTTATACAATATGCCTAAAGGATACTATGTCATTTTAAAATATTTACTGCGAGTATAAAACAGTGTTAATTCATACTCTCCATCGCCACACTTGTTGCTATTAACTGAGCCTTCGCCAATATTAGGAATGCTTTGTGTTCTGTCTCCCTTACTGGTAGTTTATCTTGCTTCTAGAGAAGTCTGAGAATCTCTCAGTTTACCCAGCCTCTAGCGATGTCTGAGAATCTCTCAGTTTATCCAGCCTCTATCGATATCTGAAAATCTCTCAGTTTACCCAGCCTCTAGCGATGTCTGAGAGCATCCGTTTACCCAGCCTCTGGCGATATCTGAGAATCTCTCAGTTTACCCAGCCTCTAGCGATGTCTGAGAATCTCTCAGTTTATCCAGTATCTGGCGATGTCGGAGAATCTCTCCGTTTACCCAGCCTCTAGCGATGTCTGAGAATCTCTCAGTTTATCCAGCCTCTGGCGATGTCTGAGAATCTCTCAGTTTATCCAGTATCTGGCGATGTCTGAGAATCTCTCAGTTTGCCCAGCTTCTGGCGATGTCTGAGAATCTCTCAGTTTATCCAGCCTCTATCGATATCTGAAAATCTCTCAGTTTACCCAGCCTTTGGCGATGTCGGAGAATCTCTGTTTACCCAGCCTTTTGCGATGTCGGAATATCTCTCAGTTTACCCAGCCTCTGGCGATGTCTGAATATCTCTCAGTTTACCCAGTACCTGGAGTTGTCTGAGAATATTTTTATTCCTCCTGTTTTTTGATAACTTTTGATTTCATTGTTGTTTACTCCTAAAATTCAGGGGCATGTTTTCCTATGTATGTATATCTATATATGTGTAGTGGGTGTTATTACACCGACAACCGGTAGCTATGTGATGAAAATATATTCACTGCCACAGTATCGAATATGTACAATACATAGATGTGTACATTAATGGAGAACCAATCTTGACATATACTCACAACAGTTGGTAGCAATATTTCATAGCAGCAAAAACGCTCTTGGGAGCTCATGGAAAGCAGAATGTTATCAAACACCAGTTTAAACAATGAACACTTAAATTGTAGACAGCAATTTTTATTTATTTGAGGTATCTGGTTATAATCTAAATCATATCTTTGACACAATGTGTGGTATTATCACAGAAGATTATAAACACAACCTTCAAAAAAATGAATTAGGAGGGAATGCATGTTTTGATACAGTTACCTCCCTTGGAATACAGCATTTTTATCTGGCATTATCTAATCACTTTGTCATTAGCTAATATTTTGAGATCAGCAACTCATGGTAAAGAGACTGTAAATTTCAATTATTTGCAAAGATGACATAAAAATAATTAAGTTTAAGAAAACAGTGGAAAGGCAGCTTGTATACATGATTTTCTCACTTTAGCTGTTAATTCTAAAACATTTTTCCAAATTTCAAATGTTTCTTTTCTTCCCATCCAATTGAATGATGTGACTTGGAAGTTTTGAATGATGAAAATAGCTTAGATTAATGGAATGTAGAGCAGTAGGAAAAAAATACATATTAACAAGGCATACACAAAATATATATACAATGTATACATACAAAAATATCCCACACTTCATGCAAAATGACCTCCCTTTTATGAGCAGGTCGAAATTTGAAAGGTCACTTATAAGTAGATATTGGCTAAACTTGGCTTGGACGGAATCAAGGTTTCATCTGAACATCACACACAAAGCAATATTTACTGCTACATTCATGTCTTTTTTTTTTGACAAAAACAAATTTGGGTCAACAGTTGGTACAATAACTTGTCCTTGTGTACAAGGATTAATACAGTCATATCAATTTCATAAAATTGAAAACATTGGGGAAAAATACCCTGTTGCGGTAGAATGAAAAATACTTATAATCTACTGTGCTGTACATTTTGCTAATGAAGCCTCTTAGATGTAGGGCTTAGAAACTTACTTCATCAAGTTCACATACCAGGTACTCTTCCATCACCTACACCTGTCAATGCAATAACTGTCTGTACCAGACATTTTGTTTATTTAACCTGTAAGTCCACCTAACACAAACTTTTTGTCTTCTCCCCCACAAGCAAATAGCCTGCCGCCATCCACAGTGTCCATAGCTATCACAGCCTTGTCAAACTTCACTTCACCAACAACCTGTTAATAAGAATGATAAAAACCAATGACAACATAAAACACTACATTATCTCATAACTGTTTTACAATATGATGATTTTATGATTCAACATCATTCCTATCTCTTTTGTTCTGTGTAAACGTTGGTAGTTTAACTATATGTTGTAGTATGTTAAACTGATCCCACTATTGTAATGTGAAGCCACCTTCCATATTTTCTATTACTTTTCTTCTCACTGAATTTTTATCTGTTTGTTTAAATATGTTCTTTTCTACAAAAAATATATTTGGGGTAGGAATTTTTAGAAAGAGACATGGGTCTTCATTTTAAGTGGCCATGGTGAAGTGGAGTATTTCACTTTTTCCAGTTTACCTTGATTCATATTTAATCAATTCACTTGACCAAAGTCTGTTGTGTTTGTTCCTGTTGGCAGAATGTGTTAATTACCTGTTTGTTGTGCATATGTTTTGACATATTGTGTCTAGTTGATTACCTGTTGTGTGTACCAGTTGACAGAATGTGTTAAGTTAATTACCTGTTTGTTGTGTGTACGTTTTGACATATTGTGTCTAGTTGATTACCTGTTGTGTGTACCAGTTGACAGAATGTGTTAAGTTAATTACCTGTTTGTTGTGCGTAGGTTTTGACATATTGTGTCTAGTTGATTAACTGTTGTGTGTACCAGTTGACAGAATTTTTCATGTTGACTACCTATTGTTTACCTGTTGACAGAATGTGTCTTGTTAATTACCTGTTGTGTGTTCCTGTCAATAGCTTGACAGCTATTGGTGCAGCTGCCTGATGCCATGATGACATTGTTGTCACAAAACTGACTACAGTAAAGGTAGGCCCCATCTTTTCCATTCAGTTCAAAATTCACATCTTGCTTGACTTTGCCCTCAGAGTAGTCCCACACCTGTAATGCATCTTTCTTCCTCCAAGAACCGGTCAGTATTTCATACCCCTGAAGTCAGCAGGAAAAGCTTCATCAGATAATGTATTATTTCTAATTACTGTACAATTTATGTCCAGAAGTAGATTATAGACATACTAAAACTGCAGAAAGATTAAATAAAATGAAAAGTACTTCAATCTCCACCATTCTCCAATATACCCATATACTGATATGTCAACACCAACTCCCCCTACTATATTTGTAGTTGTTGTCTGACACACTCCATATACTGATATGTCAACACTAACTCCCCTACTATATGTGTAGTTGTTGTCTGACACACTCCATATAATGATATGTCAACTCAACACTAACTTCCCCTACTATATTTGTAGTCGTTGTCTCAATACACACTCCATATACTGATATGTCAACACTTACTCCCCCTACTATATTTGTAGTTGTCGTCTCAATACACACTCCATATACTGATATGTCAACACTTACTCCCCCTACTATATTTGTAGTTGTTGTCTGACACACTCCATATACTGATATGTCAACACTAACTCCCCCTACTGTATTTGTAGTTGTTGTCTCAATACACACTCCATATACTGACATGTCAACACTAACTTCCCCTTCTATATTTGTAGTTGTCGTCTCAATACACACTCCATATACTGATATGTCAACACTAACTTCCCCTACTATATTTGTAGTTGTCGTCTCAATACACACTCCATATACTGATATGTCAACACTAACTTCCCCTACTATATTTGTAGTTGTCGTCTCAATACACACTCCATATACTGATATGTCAACACTAACTTCCCCTTCTATATTTGTAGTTGTTGTCTCAATACACACTCCATATACTGATATGTCAACACTAACTCCCCCTACTATATTTGTAGTCGTTGTCTCAATACACACTCCATATACTGATATGTCAACACTAACTTCCCCTTCTATATTTGTAGTTGTCGTCTCAATACACACTCCATATACTGATATGTCAACACTTACTCCCCCTACTATATTTGTAGTCGTTGTCTCAATACACACTCCATATACTGATATGTCAACACTAACTCCCCCTACAATATTTGTGGCTGTTGTCTCAATACACACTCCATATACTGATATGTCAACACTTACTCTCCCTACCATATTTGTAGTTGTTGTCTGACACACTCCATATACTGATATGTTAACACTTACTCCCCCTACTATATTTGTAGCTGTTGTCTGACACACTCCATATACTGATATGTCAACACTAACTTCCCCTTCTATATTTGTAGCTGTTGTCTCAATACACACTCCATATACTGATATGTCAACACTAACTCCCCCTACTATATTTGTAGTTGTCGTCTCAATACACACTCCATATACTGATATGTCAACACTAACTTCCCCTACTGTATTTGTAGCTGTTGTCTCAATACACACTCCATATACTGATATGTCAACACTTACTCCCCCTACTGTATTTGTAGTTGTTGTCTGACACACTCCATATACTGATATGTCAACACTAACTCCCCCTACTATATTTGTAGTTGTTGTCTGACACACTCCATATACTGATATGTCAACACTTACTCCCCCTACTATATTTGTAGTTGTTGTCTGACACACTCCATATACTGATATGTCAACACTAACTCCCCCTACCATATTTGTAGTTGTTGTCTGACACACTCCATATACTGATATGTCAACACTTACTCCCCCTACTATATTTGTAGTTGTTGTCTGACACACTCCATATACTGATATGTCAACACTAACTCCCCCTACTATATTTGTAGTTGTTGTCTGACACACTCCATATACTGATATGTCAACACTTACTCCCCCTACTATATTTGTAGTTGTTGTCTGACACACTCCATATACTGATATGTCAACACTAACTCCCCCTACCATATTTGTAGCTGTTGTCTCAGTACACACTCCATATACTGACATGTCAACACTAACTCCCCCTACTGTATTTGTAGTTGTTGTCTCAATACACACTCCATATACTGATATGTCAACACTAACTCCCCCTACAATATTTGTGGCTGTTGTCTCAATACACACTCCATATACTGATATGTCAACACTTACTCCCCCTACTATATTTGTAGCTGTTGTCTGACACACTCCATATACTGATATGTCAACACTTACTCCCCCTACCATATTTGTAGCTGTTGTCTGACACACTCCATATACTGATATGTCAACACTTACTCCCCCTACAATATTTGTAGCTGTTGTCTGACACACTCCATATACTGACATGTCAACACTAACTCCCCCTACTGTATTTGTAGTTGTTGTCTCAATACACACTCCATATACTGATATGTCAACACTAACTCCCCCTACAATATTTGTGGCTGTTGTCTCAATACACACTCCATATACTGATATGTCAACACTTACTCCCCCTACTATATTTGTAGCTGTTGTCTGACACACTCCATATACTGATATGTCAACACTTACTCCCCCTACAATATTTGTAGCTGTTGTCTCAGTACACACTCCATATACTGATATGTCAACACTTACTCCCCCTACAATATTTGTAGCTGTTGTCTCAGTACACACTCCATATACTGATATGTCAACACTAACTCCCCCTACAATATTTGTAGCTGTTGTCTCAATACACACTCCATATACTGATATGTCAACACTTACTCCCCCTACTATATTTGTAGTTGTTGTCTGACACACTCCATATACTGATATGTCAACACTAACTCCACTTTTACATGTGTAAATGCTATTTAAATCCACATTCCTATACCAAAATGTCAAAACTAATTTCTATGAATATATCTGGATACTGTCTAGTAGAAATTACAAATATGCACAACTAGGGACCATACAAATATGCACAACTAGGGACCAAGCGAAACCAGAATTGTAGGAAGTTTTGTTCAGTCCTTCTCAAGAAATAGAGACAATAAACTCATTCAAAATCCAATATACCAACATGTATATATAAGACATAAATAACAATCTAAAATTGTGAAAATGATATTTTCTGGTGCAGTAAGTATACCCTGATATCCAGACTGTCTCCACAGATATGTGGCCCATGGATTGTCCTAACCACAGGCTGGTCACCTATTCGGCTGTCCCAGATCTGGAGAGAAAAGGAGCAATTTCAGAACTCTGGCAAATTATGAGGAAAACAATACCATGAAAATTGAATTTTTACTACATTTGTATGTGAATGTATATAATACTGAATATATTGCTAGAATTTGTTTTCTTTCAAACATTTCTGCATGAACCATAAAACTAATTTAAGCTTAATTTGGAAGATACAATTTGTAGAAGTCCAGTGTGGTGTCCCTGGGGAAAGGGCTATCATTTTCAAACACCAGTCATTTGGGATCAAGAAAAGTTGCACATAGCATTTGGTATAACAAATCTTCCTTTTAAGTTAGCATGCTGCTAGCAGATCTAGAAATCTAGATTTTGTTGGCAGGCACAGCAGAGGTAATGCCACTTGTATCTTAAAACCTACAGAAATAAAGATATTATCATAGGTGCTGTAAACAAACTCTTGAAGACTTTCTAAATAATTTCAATGTGCATGAGTTTCAATGTAACTTTAATGTTTACAGACATAAATAATGACATGGGCAACACGAATATGTCTACGTTTTATGGGGGGGAAATTACAAATACCTTGAGGTGTGATTCCCAGCCCCCAGTGACAAATATAGGCTCAGTTTCTGGATGGAACTTTAGTGCAAATACTCTCATAGAACACCCTGCAGACTCTATTTCTGTAGGATTTTGTTTATTGCTGAAGCCCTCAATAGTCCTGTCCAGCTGAAACAGATTTACATTCAACTGTAAAATGTGGTAAATGATAACATCTTCTTGGTAAATAAAGTGGTAAAATCAGTTTTAAAACAATAAATTTACTTCAAAATTTCTGTTAATAAGTCCTGTACAATGTCTTGAAATGTATATTTCAATTACAAACTTCCTGCTTCATGTTTTTCTGTTCACTTCTATCATCTATTACCTTGTAATTGTTAGCATGATATAAACGTATTGCAAGATCTTTCCCTCCTGTTGCAAACATTGAACCATACATGTCAAAGTCCAGACAGTTAATTTCATTTCCTTTTTCTGTAAAGAAAACAATGAGAACAAACTGAGAACATTTTTTGATATTTCAATTAAACCATTGAGAGAAATTAACCACATTTTAAGTTTCCATATTTTATGCACAAGATATTGCTATAGAGAAAAGTAATAGCAGCACACTTACAAAAATATCAATACATATTTGTAATCAGATTACCTATGTGTATAGTGTGTATAATGTTCATACTGCACACTTAGCCATGTATGAAAATGTGTCTCTGACTATGACAATATCATTAGTTTGTTCATACATTATACAGTATGAACACTATTATGATAATTTTAAATCACCTTAATAGAGGGCACCCTTAAGTGAATTCAGATTAGTGATATCAACAAGAGGCCTGCATTGTTCATCTAGTTTTTTTTTTAAAAGTACAGTCAATGCTCACCACATATACATTTAAACATGCACCATTGGCATTCAAAGAAAACACATCCAATCAATTTCAACCAATTTCCACAACAAACATTAGCTATTAACAGTCAGTTCTATAAAGTGACAGTTATGATCTGGTTCAAAGGTTATAAGTCATTATATTTTCTTGTTTTTTTCAAAATTTGTTGGGCATTGACCTTGAAACAACTTTCCACCAGATATTCTGCTTCTCAGACATTTGGTTTACCAGTAAAAATCTTTGACCCCTGTGACCTTGAATATGGTTCAAGGTAATTTCTTTTTGTAAACATCGTCAGGCTTTATCAAAGAGACCTATCTGCTAAATATCATGCTTCTGGAACTTTCGATTAATAAGAAGAAATTGTTGTAAGTTTCAACAAATTTAACCCCTGTGATCTTGTACATGGGTAAAGGTCATTTCTTTGTCAAACTTTATCCTAGAGACCAACCAGCTACATATAATTCTTCTAGACATTTTGATTAATCAGAAGAAATTGTTTGAGATATTCAATATGAAGTACTCTGTGCCACCAAAATCCTGGCTGAAAATCTTAACTCTTGGTCTGAAGCCTTTTTGTTGAAAAAAAAAATGGTTTCTAAGAAGGAGATATTTCAAATGTTTTATTTCCCAAATCAATACTCATGCATTAGTTTTCTTACACTTCAAAAGTGTGATGTGACCTGTTATATAATTAGTTCCAAAGTGATTTATCAAATTGACCAGTGAGGCTTATGACCAGCTATGATGACCAGTGAGGCTTATGACCAGCTATAATGACCAGTGAGGCTTATGACCAGCTATAATGACCAGTGAGGCTTATGACCAGCTATAATGACCAGTGAGGCTTATGACCAGCTATAATGACTAGTGAAGCTTATGACCAGCTATAATGACCAGTGAGGCTTATGACCAGCTATAATGACCAGTGAGGCTTATGACCAGCTATAATGACCAGTGAGGCTGCAGATATAAATACAAATAAACACAAGAAATAGCTATCCAAAGAACGATGATTTAAACATATGAGACCAGGAAAGTTGACTCAAATTTATATGAGAAACGACTGACCTGTAATCACTTCTGTGATGTTGCCATCTTTAATGTTACATTCGAACACTTTGCCCTCCGCAGTACCTGCCAGGAGAATGTGATGATTCTTGGGATGGAAGCGCATACACATGATCTGTAGCCCACCATATCGTGCTTTTCTTAACTCTTGGAGCATCTTACCAGTTTTAGACTCATATAACTATAAAAAATTACCTTAATTAGTCATGTATCACAGCAAATATCAATATTGATCATAAGAAATTTACTTGATTTTATCTCAGAGAGAACATGTTTATGATGCAATTCAAATACCAATTAATAGCAACACTGATTTAGTTACCAAGCTTTTAAAAGTAATATATAGCATGCTTCAGAATAAAGGTACAATCGATAAAGGAGAGGCTGATCAATCATTCTATCTCAGACTTCCCTTATTTCTACATTGGGTCCATCCACATCAAAGGAAGGGAGAGAATACTGTATGTTCAAGGTAGAACAAGTAAAATGGGATATTGGTTCACCTTGCAGTTGTGAAATGTATCTTTGCTTTAAGTGAAAATTATTGTCATGGGCTAGAGAGTATCATATTGAAAATCAATACATTACATAGAATTTAGTTACAATTTTTTTTCATTAATGGCATTTGAATTAAAAGTGATCAGTCAAACATTGAAGTTAAGTGTTTATTTCAATTTTTGAGTGCTTCCAGGCGCTGGGGGTGTAAAAATAAATAAATCCATCTAAAATGAATTACCAATACATAGCATTTCAAAACGATGTAAAAAAATGAACACTCTAAAAGATAAGTTTTCTGTTAAAAGTCTGGGAGATAACTTACCCTGATTGCACCATTGCCAAATCCTACAGCCAGAACCATGCCATCGTAGGAGTATTGAAGTGAGTAGACAGGGCCTAAGGCATCGATATCAAACGGTATTTCTTTGATGATCTGCATACCTGAGAACTTCTGTGGCCATTGTTTCCCTGAAGTGAAAATATTTGACATAGATAATTATTTATTCTGCAACTAGTGCTGCCATGGTCGGAATACACATACCACATATATTTTTGTAGTATTTGGCAGTGATGGAAACAGCTGTATTTTAGCAGGTGTGTTATTTTGACAGAATTATTGTCTGAAATTACTTAAATACCGTGTATAGAAATATAAACAGTCGTTGAAATAAGTGAGTTTACATGTTGTAACGAACATGCTGATTTATGAAAATTCATAAAATTGCTGTTATATTTGATGAAGTTTGGAACTATCTTTCTGCTCGCAGCAATTATTTTGGCGTCCGTCATCAGGTGAAATTCTGTGCAACATCAACATCAACGTCAGGTAAATATAGTTTGAACAACAAAATTGTTTAAGTTTCAATAGTCTGATTTTCAGGCAATGTTGCAGGATAAATAGAATACATGGTCAGTGTCTTAAAATATAAGCTGGATTTGGGCTCAGAATAGAAAGACAAAATACAGCAAATATTTTGATGAAGCTGAAGTGACCTGAGAACCTTACCTTTTAAACAACTGGGTACCTCCATGATCAGACTCCTTACCTTTTCTGTATTACTAATTAAACCACAGCATAGTCCTGTGGTGATTCTGTAGAATCTAATTTGGAACCTCCAATCACATTCATTATTTACTTACTTACTAACCAGCGTGTGTGTTCCACCTTAGGTATTTGTCTGCTGATGTTGCTAATTGTAAAAACATCATAACACTAATAAACTTGTCTTGCAAGGATAAAATAGTTGAAGGATATGACCTTGAAATCAATTTTCATGGGAAATTTAGTGGTGCCATTTAACACATCACTACTATTTTTATAACATCATGCAAAAAAATATTCAAACGAATTCAATGGTATATTTTCATTGGTTGTTTCCATTTCATTGTTTTAAATATGACATTTAAACACATTTTGATAAACATAATCTAATTCAACATATAGCCTTCAGGTCCATTCAGTTCCTCCTAAGCCTACTAATACCCACCCTTAGTAAGACCTCTCAAAGCACTTCTGTCTAGGCCAATGAGAGCGATTTATATCAGTTTTGGACTGTTTCTCAATTGTTGAAAAAGACAAGTAAAGCTTATTGTATTGTTTCAAAAATCTATTTTTAAAGGTTGCTAAACTCAAAAAACCAAAGTACATATATAATTTAGCTAGATAAAATCCTCTTTGAAGGTGGCACACATACATATAACATATAAGTGTTCCGAAACACCTGGTGAAAAAAAACATCAACATCCACAAAAAGTAATTCTTCCTTAAACAAAGATACCAGATGTATCATAGTATCAATCAAATCTGGTGACATAAATAAATCACAGATAAAGGACAATTTGTCTCTTTTTTCTAGAGACATTTTAATCATCAAATGTTTTAATGTAAAGGAATGTAGAATTTCATTCTAAGTCTTGTTGAGCAGTCTGAATGAATGATAACATTGTCCAATGATTTACCTTTTGTTGAGTTATCAGTAGAATTTACAGGGAAATAAATCAGATAACTTGAGAGTTTATACAGACTAGGATAGAAACACTGTAGAATATTACACAGGTACTCTCTGTTGTGTTATCAAAGATCAAAGGGATTTCAGATTCAAGTTTCACAGCGTAAACCAAACATAAGATACTGCAATAAAGAAGCGAACATGCCTAGAAACAGTTTTTTTTTAAATACACAGGTAAAAATATATAAAGATAAAACCAATAGTATTTAATGATTGTTTACAGCTAGAGATAAACACAGATATGGTGTACTGGGTAACAAAGAGCAAGAAGTAAAAAATGTCTGGAAAATAAAACATTGTTTTTGTTTTGTTAACTTGGATAACATTGATTGTGCTGAGTGCAAAGTTACAAATGCTGTTAAAACTGAAAAGTGATCATCACTAATATTTGTATTTCTTTTCGAATCAATACAGCACAAGCTTGCAATCTCGTTATAATCATTGATTGTTATATTAGTTGTGTGTCAATTTTCAAATAGTTTTTTTATCAACTATGATTATTTCAAAACAATTTTATTGATGTTGATAATTTTTTTTTTTTGAGGGTCTATTTACATTTAGCCCACTTTGGATATTAGAACTGACACAGCGAATGTTATATCAAACAGTGTTAGGAGTTTATCAAGGCACAGTGGGTGCAGAGGAATGGACGGTGTCTGGATGGAAGTTACCTGGAAACCAAACAATAAACATGTCTAACAGAGTGTGATGTCGCAGGGAAAAGCCATCGCTGCATTGCTACAAAGACTGATAGAGTCAATTGAGGTGTTATTATTTTTCAATCATGGTTTCCAATCATCAACCATGAATAATCATCTGGGAATAAAACACTGCTTTTACTGATGTGGACGAGGTCTGTAAACAAGTCTATAGTACAGTACTGACTGGAATACTATACCATGTACTGACTGTAACACTGCCTTTACTGATGTGGACGAGGTCTGTAAACAAGTCTATAGTACAGTACTGACTGTAACACTGCCTTTACTGATGTGGACGAGGTCTGTAAACAAGTCTATAGTACAGTACTGACTGTAACACTGCCTTTACTGATGTGGACGAGGTCTGTAAACAAGTCTATAGTACAGTACTGACTGTAACACTGCCTTTACTGATGTGGACGAGGTCTGTAAACAAGTCTATAGTACAGTACCAGTACTGACTGGAATACTATATTATGTACTGACTGTAACACTGCTTTTACTGATGTGGACGAGGTCTGTAAACAAGTCTATAGTACAGTACTGACTGTAACACTGCCTTTACTGATGTGGACGAGGTCTGTAAACAAGTCTATAGTACAGTACTGACTGTAACACTGCCTTTACTGATGTGGACGAGGTCTGTAAACAAGTCTATAGTACAGTACTGACTGTAACACTGCCTTTACTGATGTGGACGAGGTCTGTAAACAAGTCTATAGTACAGTACTGACTGTAACACTGCCTTTACTGATGTGGACGAGGTCTGTAAACAAGTCTATAGTACAGTACTGACTGTAACACTGCCTTTACTGATGTGGACGAGGTCTGTAAACAAGTCTATAGTACAGTACTGACTGGAATACTATACTATGTACTGACTGTAACACTGCTTTTACTGATGTGGACGAGGTCTGTAAACAAGTCTATAGTACAGTACCAGTACTGACTGGAATACTGTACTATGTACTGACTGTAACACTGCTTTTACTGATGTGGACGAGGTCTGTAAACAAGTCTATAGTACAGTACCAGTACTGACTGGAATACTGTACTATGTACTGACTGTAACACTGCTTTTACTGATGTGGACGAGGTCTGTAAACAAGTCTATAGTACAGTACTGACTGGAATACTATACCATGTACTGACTGTAACACTGTTTTTACTGATGTGGACGAGGTCTGTAAACAAGTCTATAGTACAGTACCAGTACTGACTGGAATACTGTACTATGTACTGACTGTATCACTGCTTTTACTGATGTGGACGAGGTCTGTAAACAAGTCTATAGTACAGTACCAGTACTGACTGGAATACTGTACTATGTACTGACTGTAACACTGCCTTTACTGATGTGGACGAGGTCTGTAAACAAGTCTATAGTACAGTACTGACTGGAATACTATACCATGTACTGACTGTAACACTGTTTTTACTGATGTGGACGAGGTCTGTAAACAAGTCTATAGTACAGTACCAGTACTGACTGGAATACTGTACTATGTACTGACTGTAACACTGCCTTTACTGATGTGGACGAGGTCTGTAAACAAGTCTTTAGTACAGTACTGACTGGAATACTATACCATGTACTGACTGTAACACTGTTTTTACTGATGTGGACGAGGTCTGTAAACAAGTCTATAGTACTGTACCAGTACTGACTGGAATACTATACCATGTACTGACTGTAACACTGCCTTTACTGATGTGGACGAGGTCTGTAAACTAGTCTATAGTACAGTACCAGTACTGACTGGAATACTATACCATGTACTGACTGTAACACTACTGTTGGTAGTGACATACACATTTCACTGGTTACAACTACTATATAAGGAGACATAATTTACTCGATATGGTCCCTATTTAGACGGATGATATAGTCAAATAAAATTGGATAAAACTGAAACAACTGATAAAAAGCTTTAAATCTATTAGAAAACCTTGGAAATTTGGAGCTAGAACAACTCCATTGGGATTTAGGAATATACTGACAAGCACCTCATATTACCAGGGCCAAACAAAATGTGGTTAAAAATTGTATTGGTTGACATCAGTACAATAAAACGTCCTGTAAAAGTATTAATAACAATAAATATAGAACTCTTAATACATATAAAAAACAGAGGTCACTGTCTTATCACAATAGTATAACACTAAAGGCTAGCTGGTAATTACTGGATTGGCCTAATACACAGAGTACCTGTACATCTGCTTTCACAATAGACTATTGTGTGGCCTATTAAAAGCAAGGTCAGTTTTTGATAATACATATATGGGAAAACTGGACACAAAGCACTTAAAACCCAATTTCACATCAGATAAGAGGATTCAAGATTTCAAATAAAATTCAAGACATGAAAAACATGATCTCTAACAAGTCTCAACAGGGTGTATTATAATCAACCCTCACATGGACCTGCTTTTTTTTATGTTGATTAATTGATAAATGGTAATAGGCTGTCATGTTTCACATGAGAAATGATTCCAAAATTTCTTTTACTGAGAATACTTGTATTGAAAGTGTGAAACTAGAAAATAGTCCTTTGAACCTGTAGAGGACCAGCAAGTCATTTCTGACTAAAGGACCTACAGGCCAGTCCAGCATGAAGCATGTCATGACTCTGCCTTTACAGGACTTACAAGTCCAGCATGTTTTATCACAGCCTACAGGATCTAGAAGTTTAGCATGTCATGACTCTGCCTATACAGGACTTACAAGTCCAGCATGTCATATCACAGCCTACAGGAC